GGCTAAGGAGCGGTACATCTCTAAGCAGTTGACCAATCACAACACACCAGCTTAGGCCTGCACCACTGCTCCTAGTACTAGGATGGGTTAATGCAGAGGTCAAATGTCACTGTTTGTGTGCATGTACAGTATGTGTGACAATAAAAGAGGGTTTCATCCTCCGATTCTAATCCAATTCTAATCCAACCAATCAGAAGGACTGGGCTCTGGTTTCAGACAGAGGGTGAAAAGAGGCAGTAATAAAGGAATTTTTGAACATTATAGCATGTAAACATGTCACAGAGGCACACAATAATATTATTGTCCTAAAAATAAGCACAATATGTCCCCTTTGACAGATGTGGAAAGGAGGTAACCAAGGGCTCCACCTAGTGATAATTGTTCAACTATTAATTAAAGCTGCTTAAAAATATATTTTAATGGATTGAAAGTGAAAATGCAAAAGAGACCACTTATTGTGAACATACATAGAATAATCCCCTGAATCTGCTGCTGCCCCTGGCTTAACTGAGCTGTACAGAGAGTTTCAGCTCATTACTAAGCTGTCCCACCTTTTTGTTCATTCATATCACTCTAATTTTTGGCCACAGCGGGCAGCTGTTCAGCAAAAGCATCTCTAAAACCCAACTAGCTGATCTGCACCAAACAGCAGAGAGAGAGAGAGAGAGAGAGAGAGATTAAATGGTGCAGCATTCAGCAGCTAAAGAGAAAATAAATGTTGCTTGTGTATCGCTGCTATAAAAAGGATTATAACAGGTTTATCATAGCAATAATACTCTAATTCATTTGTTAATCATGTCTATTGAATGTCAGAAAATAGTAAACGTCCTTGCTTCATTAAAAAACTAAACTACAGTCTTAAAGTGAAAAATATTCAGCTCATTAAATATAAAAGCAGCAAATTATAACCTTAATGATGTTATGTTTATGCATGGGGTTTTTGTTATTGTGTTTTTTCTTGTTGTTTGCTCCTTTGACCCCTCACTACTCTGTCTCTCCTTCTCTGCAGGGCTGGTGTGTGACAGGGGGCGTGGCTGGTATTCTCCTGGCTGCAGATGAGGCACACCTGTTCCTATTCACATAATCAACCTGCTCTTTAAGAGCCTGGCCCTCACCTCCCTTCTCTGCCAGAGAATTAACTGCTGTTCGTAAAATCTGTTCGACAATGCTGTTCGACAATGCTGTTCGTAAATGCTGTTTGACGATCCTGGGTGCCTTTCTGCAGCCTGGAGTCTAGTTTTCTTTCTTTGCAGTTTTTGAGCAACTCTTGAGTTTTTGTCGGGGACGTTTTTCCCTCTGCTTTGTTTATGGACCTTACTGCAGCCAGCCAGCTCCCTGTCTTTGGTACCTGCCGTGGACTTGGACACTAGTAAAATACAAACGCCACAAATGAAGCTCTAATTCACCTTTGAGCAGTTGTTCGATTAAGGTTTTACATTTTTGAACTGTAGATAAGCACAATTTACTGGTATTTCTTCTTCACTTCTGTTTTATGCTCATTCAAAATGACGCTCCTCTTCTTTTCATAGTTATATATTCTAATCTCTTAACTCCCCTACATTTATCTGATAAAGTCTGGTCTGTGATTTGATGAAGAAACAACTTATTCATTTCAGTAAATATACCGAATATAAATATATATATATATATATATATATAACATAGAAAACAATTTTAGAGACTTTCCTAGAGTAAGATGTATAATCTTTTTTTAATCAAGCATTTTAAAATGTGTTTACTGAAGTCAATACTCATAAATAATACTTTTTTTTTATTTGTTGTGTTGGAAAATGAAACACATGTACAGAAGGCAGAAAGTAACCCTTGTGCAAAAAATAAAATACAAAGAATGTCAGTTCAGTTGTATACCTTGGCATCATATTCCCAAATCACTAAACCCCTCAAGTTGTATGTCAATGATAACAATTGTATTTAATCACTCTTTACACACACACACACACACACACACACACACACACACACACACACACACACACACACACACACACACACTTCTTCCCATCAAATGTAGTACAATTGCATATAAAAACATCTTCAAGCAACATTTTCAAAAAGATGCATGTTAAAACCGTCGTGCTCAGTTTGGCAGAGTAAACCGAGTGTGTATGTGGGCCCATGCAGGTTGAGCCAGTCAGAAAAAAAGATATAAACATTTATTCTGCAATACAGACATGGTGTCCCTATTTATCCTATTTTTCATTTCAGCATTGACCCCTCATATAACTGTTTACCTTCTGCTTTGTGAGTGTTTTTCAATGATAACCTGCTACTTCTGAATGGAAGACATGTTGATCTTTAGATGTATACTACATGTATTTTGTAGCTTTCAAAACATTTACTAAAATGATGGGAATGGTGTATAAGGTTGTGTAAGGCTCTAATCAATATATATTTTCTATTCTAACATTAGCAGTGAGTCTTTAGCGGAAAAAACTATTCCCCAGGTTTGAAACTGAACTTTTTGATTTATTTTCTGTCAAATGTCTTTTTTTGTGTCTTTCTTTCTACCTTTCTTGAAAATTCTAATGAGAAGGAGTATGGGCAACCCCGCACGGCAGATTTTAAACAGACATATAATTGTGTTCAATATGAAGCCACAGCTGTCATTTCGTCCCTGTAAGTTGAGGAGAGTCGGCTAGTAAGAGCCAACTACAGCGTGAATATTTAGCAACTGCCTTTTCTTTCGAAATGTTTTTGATTGACAGTGGCCGCTTTTTTATTCTTTTTACAAGGTTTGGTAATTCCATGCAGATAGCAGCTGCATTTGAAATAAAGCCACCGTCAACCCAACATGATGTTTCAAAGTTAAAACTAAACACCTGACTTTGATTTATTAGTGTTTTCGAAAACATTTGCTGCGGTGCTCGACTTCTTTAACCTTTCGTGCCTGTGAGCAACAACTTAAGGATCAACATAAATTAATAAGACATTCCACAATTATTGCTTCCTCACTTGAGGCTGCATCAAAGCATTTGTATTTACCGCTTACTGAAGGTGTTTGTGAAAGTCATTTTGTAAATGTTGTGAGTGAGTCAACTGATCCAGAGGCTTAACACTTCATGCATTTTTCTGAAGCTGAAGTGCCACTTCTCCAGCTTATTTGTTGCGGAAAGAGAATTTTCTGAACACTCAACCTGTGTGGGACTAACGCCTCCACAAAGAGGAATTACTTGTCAACATGACCTTTCAGACTTTGGATTAATTGGTGGTATTTCAAGTCTTTGCTCACCGTGTATTTCAAAGATACACTATGACAGCAGCAATTAATCATGTTCAATCAATTCATAACATTTCCAAGGCTAAAAATAAGCAGGAGGAAATCAGAGAATAAAGACCATTGCCAAAAGCCCAATTTTTCAGTGGTAATGAAAGTGAAACATATATGTGTATCTCCCAATGAATTACTGCTGGAGGTCACATCTGAACAACATCTGGAATAAGGAATTGAATGTGTCACATGTATATGGATATGAAGGTATACTGCTTATTAGTCTTATTTTTAGCAGCTTGTGTCACAACAAGTGTTGAGTCACATGTTTGACATGTTCAACAAGCTACATTAATGATCTGCATTATAGAAAACGTCTGCTTCTCCTTTTTAAATTTGAATAATACATTAAATGCTTCCCAATAAAAAGGAAAGGCTTCTTTATTTTCATGTAGGATAATGATGGGTTGGCATATGATCAATGTGACAAGCTTAAATACAGCTTTTGTTTTTTAGTCTTCTGTGATTTCTAAGGGTGATGTGATGCTTTTGAAATTAGAATAAAGAAGCCTGAGCCTTTCATTAGCAAATGTTACTAATACTTGTATAAATCAGATGTTAAATAAATCAGATGTTCAATTACACAGCCTTCATCCACTACTCTCTCCTTTCAAACAAAAGAGTGTGTTGCAGTTTCTAATGTGGGTTGACACATAATTACAAATGTTTCAGTTAGAGTATAAAAAGATTTTGACAATTGCACAGAATATTATCTCCTGTAATTCTAATAGTCACTGTAATTTGGTCATTTAGAAATACATTAGATATGGTCGATACTGGGCAAATAGTGTTGGTTGAGAGGTTGGAACCAAAATCACGGTTACAAACAATAAAATACTGTTGATTATGTGCTTCTCTCAGTCTTTTCAGCATTGTGCAATTATCAAAGAATTGCCTCATGGGATAATTTATGTGCACATACGCGTCAGAAAATCAATGCAGCAGAAAAGAAGGATCGATCCTCACTTGATACAACATACGACCAGAATTTAAAGCAGACATGAGACTAGAAAGTCACCCTTTTTTTTTAAATGGAGGGGCTGGGGATACCAGGTCCAGGATAAAGAGATCAATGCGCTGCTTTTCTCTACAAGTTTTTCAATGGATGTGAGAGAGGAGTTTCTGAAACGGTACAGTGGCCAAAGGGAAGTTGTTCTACATCAAAATATACAAATTAAATGCGAAGCACATAGTGGGTAAAATATGTAGCAAGGTAAAAGTATACAAAAATTAAACAGATTACACTAAATAAATTAAATATGCTTTCATGTGTCCCAATAATGTGCAACATAAACCCAAATCACGCTCACATTACATGCTTACGTCATCCTTTTTTTATCACAAAGGCTGTGAAAGGCAAAAGGCACCAGATATCCTTCATCATGCCGAACATTACATTTGAGTTCCAGCTGATTCATGTGGGAGATTTAAGATGTCTATATTAAAACAAAGAAAACTGAAAATATACATTTTCATTCACATCATATTTGTGTTTGCTATGTTTGAAATAAAAGGGTGTGTAAAAAACAAAAATTGAATTTTTGTTTTTGATAACTGCATGAATTATTTCTTTATCACGAGATGAAGGAATGTCATGATATTTTTTTCTTCCAATTTTCGTGATAAGGTGAAGGGGAAGTTTGATTGTATGCACGGTTCATATCAGAAAGAAAAACATTAAATTGTTCAATTTAGTCTGCAGTTTTCTAATAATGCATTTCATTTTGTTTTAATTGGGTCATTTTAAACCTTCTATAAGATTGTTAATACTATAATGATTAAAAGATATGAAACAAATTAAAGGTATAATTAGAGGAAAAGACGTCACCCTAAAACGCTGACCCTCTTTACTCTATACTTTGTGGAGTATTTGACTTTCTGATAACTGGCCAGTCTGGTTAAGGTTTGGGCGTAATATTTCTACGGTGAAGATGACAGTGAATATCAGATTAGGGTCAACATTCTTCGTAATCAAAAGGAGCAGGTTTTTCAGGCAGCTCCAACTAAAGCTTCAATAAAACAGCATGTGTTACTGTCACATTCATTTTGAGTAGGGGGAGGATATTGATAAAAACACTCACCCACTATGGTCACCTTCACAAACACAAATCATAAAACAACAAATTAAAGTGGTTACACAAAAAACTAGAATATTAAAAGAACAAACCCAATGGAATTCATTTTATATAAAAGGATTGACACATATCCAAAGGGTCGATATTGCATGAATATAAATAAATCGTTATTGGCTCTGTTAGGGATTTAATTTCTTAGCCGAATAATGATTGTGTGACCCAAGTCAGAGATTCTACAGAATACCAATCCTACCCAGTGGGATATCACTGATAAAGGTCTTTGTTGTGCAGGGTCAACACTGCAGTCTGGGTCACATAGGGACAAGCTTATGCTTATGCTTCGTGTTTAAAGCCATCGTGTATTTTGAAAACTTTAAACAAGGGATTACAGATGGATAATAAATGTTAAGCAGAATCTGAAGCCTCAAAACACCACCGTTAATGAAGTTACATTCTTATGAAGGAACACAATCAGTGCGTCCAGATTGTAATCAAACAACCATGAGAATTCAGAATGGAGTGAGGAATTCCAGCACTCCAACTACAGCGATAAGACACGAATGTGGATAATATGCTATACTAATTATGTCTGTCTGTGTGTGTCTGTGTGTGTGTGTGTGTGTGTGTGTGTGTGTGTGTGTGTGTGTGTGTGTGTGTGTGTGTGTGTGTGTGTGTGTGTGTCAATTAGTGCTTCCAGTGCTAAACAGACTAACTCATTGGTTCTTAACTGCATAATATACATTTATCAGGCACTTGTTTTAAGTCATAACAAAAAACCAAATATAATGGACTCTCTTAAATTTGATGGACAGGTCCAATGATTTTATTCTGCTCTCATTCTCCCAGCATTTAGCTACCCTATATATGCTCTGAGCCTCTCAACTCCGTTGTGCATTCCACATCATGCTGTTCATTTTCTAAGGACAAAGAGGGGCACCACTTGGAATTGCTCTCTATTGCTTTGATCTTAGAGATTGGAAGTCACTCTCCTTATGACAAATACAAGGCTTTGTGTGTGTGTGGCTGAGTTGATGATCTGTGTGTCAGAAGCTGGACTCGGGGACTGTCCTTTTGCGTCCAAGCGAGGTTGTGCTGTATCGAGTCCTCTGCAGGGTGCCGTACGACGGTTTGTCTGTTGCCAGGGTGCGTGATGGGGCTGTAGACATCCCGTTGCGATGCAGGGAAGCTGTCCTTCGTATACTCTGCTCCGCTTTGATGGGGATGTTGGAGGAGCTCTGGGAGCGCTTGATATCCGCCGTTGTCCGTCCCACCTTCCCGTTTGCCAGCTCGTCGCCCCGGTGGCCCGAGCCATTAGACTTGCCTACTTCCGGTTCAGTTGCTCCTCCTGCTGCTGCTGCTCCATTTGACAGCGACGACTTAGAGAGCGTCCTTCTGCCTCCTTCCTCACCTGCTCCTCTTCCTGATTCACCCTCCTTTGACTTCCTTGAGTCCCTATCCTTCTTCAGGAAACTGCCTTTAAAGAAGGAGAGCAGTCCTTCATGGTTCCTAGGCACTTCTTCTTTCTTAGTCTTAGAGTTTCCTTCGTATGCACCTTGTTGTTCCCTATCAGCCCTGTCCCCTTTTTGTCTTCTCAGGGTCCCGTCCTGAAGGCTGGGAGTGCTGTAGCTGGACTGAACACCAGCACTGGAACTCCTTTTTGTCTCAGTATCCTGGCAAGCTTTGGAGGAGCTTTCCTTCCTGTCATCTTTCCTCCTGGTGAGAGTGTTACTGCTAGAGCTACTGCTGATATTCGTCGTCCTGTCGTCTCTTGGCTGGCTCCCCTTACTGCGTCTCAAGCTTGCTGTCTTATCTGACGGCCTCCTCTGGCCCTCAGGTACCTTTGTAGACTCAAGCGGCAGCCCATCTCCTGCCTTATTTAAACAACTTAAACTTCCAACACTGGAAGATCGAACATTAGCGGAAGCCCGGCCCTCAGAAGCTTCCTTCGCGCTGCGTGACTCGCTCATCAACGTTGCTATTGGATCTTTTGTGCACCGGGGCCGCCGGCCAGACTCCAAGTACTGTACCAGCTCCACAGGGGCAGGGTCTTGGACAGCCAGGGGCACTGGGTCAGGTTTCCGTCTGTCCTTTGAACCGAAGGACCAGCGCAGGGGGAACACTTTGCTCAGTGTTTCCCTGGTCTTGCTAGGTGCTCTCATGCTCACACTCCTTCCCTGAAGACCTCTGATAAAAGGCCTGCTATCGAAACCCCCTAACAATTATGAAGAGAGGGGAAATGTTTTAGTTTTTCAATTTAAATGTGACATCTTTAACTAAACCATACAAACTATTTGCGATATGTGCAATATATATATATATATATATATGCTGTTAAAAACTGTGCAATATATACCTGGCTGCTAAATATCAGAACTGTTACAGGATGTGTATTTTGTAAAATGTGTAACTTTTTTAATTATCCTTAGTAATTTTTAATGCATGCTTAGGTAACATTAAGCTGTCTTTGGCTCTTTTCTCTTTTTCTGCTGTAACAATGTAAATGTCCCCTCTGTGGGACTAATACAGTTATTCTGATTCTAAACAACAAATAAGGTAGTGAACTAATTAGGGCAAATACTGAGTGGAGCCCCTTACCTCTTTCTTCTTTTGAACCGTTTTCAAAGAAGACCGGAGACTCGGGTGAGTCAGGTAAGGAGGATGGGCAGGTGGTGGAGGATCGAGAGACCATACTGCCTCTCTGACTGTCCCCTGTCAGCCGTATCAGCCAGTGGTCTGACATTGATGAACTTGTGGATCCTGTAAGACACACAGAATGAAAAAAAGGGAGAACATAAAACATAAACAGTGACCATTTCGGAATTGTATCACACACAGTCCCAATATAGGGCTTATGACTAAAAGCAGGCAAGCAAATGACCTTTTGATCATCCTGTCACCACTTTCCTATCCCTACACGTCCCCATCCTTCCTCCACACCTACATTTAAACTCTGCGCTCATTTGGACTACACATCTGTACAGTTTTGCGATTGTATCAGGCCCAGTGGCTATTGTAACAGACAGACAGTACTTGAGTTCCTCAGTGGTAGCTGCAGGGGGTTTCTCCAGGACCACATGTTGCCATGATGACACAGGCTGAAACTAACAAGATATAAACAATACCTGCATTGCTGTGGGTTAAGAGTATTCCACCAAGTGAGCATTGCACTATATTGTTGGATTCATTTATAAAACATATACCACCAACAGTTTGTTTGGAGATTTTAATGTGGTCAACTTGCAGCTGTTCATGTAGCCTCAAGCTGCTAACCTTAACCAGAAATGAGGAATAGAGCGATGTGGTAAGCTTATTGTTTTTGAGTCCTGCACACCTACAGGATTTTGTCATTTGCAAAGCTTTGTTTGGAGCCACAACCGGCTTATACAACTTTATTTATTAACACATGCAGCAGCCGAACTTGCTAATAGTGGACACTACTTTTAATGTGTTATTTAATGTTATGTGTGTAGTTTACATCCAAGCAGTTCGTTCCAAAGGGAAAGTTTTGGTTTAAAGTCAAAGAAAGTTTGTATCAAACTAAAATCAACTCTAGATCCATTATTCCGGCAGCGGTGGTGGAGTAATTGTTAAAATCCTTTACTTAACTTAATGAAGTAACACCACAATGTCAATACACTCTTTCCTTGTATTACAAGTCTAGGATTCAAAGTAGTTGAGGGAACATACTGGGGAACAGGTGGTTTTCTACCACATATCCACCAACACATATTAAAGCCTTTTAGTCAAAGTTTTGTATTGCTAGAGGTTAGAATTTGTGCTGAAAGTAGAGAGGGAAACAACTCTTTGTGTGGGCTGTTTTGGGTCAGCCTAATTGAGCAGAATGTGCCGTGTTGTTAGCAAACCATGAATCATTGAAATGTAAAAGAAAACAATGTTTTTTTTGTTCCTTTTATTTCTGCCTCCTGCCTTATTACCATATGTTCTCCAGCTTGTAAAAAGAAAATAGATGGACGGCTGCCATCATTGAGATGTTCCAATCCCCATGAAGCATATCTGTCTCTCCTCCAGATGCAGAGGAAGTCAGGACTAAGCCACAAACCACTATGGGCAACAAATATAGTGCAAGATCTAGATGCCAGGGGATGTACAAACATAACATTTGGTGAAGAAACAACTGTCAACGACTGTTACCTGCGACTCAATTACTCAGTAAAAGAAAAAGTATTACACACTGCAACTGTGTTTTTCTATAATCTGATTATATATATTATATTATATCAATATTTTGATTGGCAGACAGTGCCTCATGCTCAGAGTGGCTCAGTGGCTCAGTCTGTAGGGACATGGTCTTGGAATTGAAGGGTCGCCGGTTCACGTCCCGATCGGACCAAAAATAAATATGGAGTGAGCTGGTAGCTGGAGAGGTGCCAGTTCACCTCCAAGACCACTGCAGAGGCACCTAACCTCAAAACTGCTCTCTTGGCACCAAGTTCCTGGCATGCCTCTCTGCTATCTGCATGTGGTTGTGTGTGTGCATGTATATCCTCTGTCTGTGTGCATGTATATCCTCCCCTGTGTGTGTAATGTGTGTGAAACACAACAGAGTGGGGAAAGACATAATAAAGTATGTCTTCCTCTTCTCCAAACGTACACAAATAATGCTGTTTTTTCATCAACACAATGCTTATCACAATATTCCCCACACAGAGACTTTGACAACAACCATATATGACATTCTTCAGAGACTAACTTAATTGCTAATATAATATAATTGTTGAGTATTGATTGATTAAGGTGTAATAAATAATTTTGTTATGCGAGTGTCATTTAGCCTAGCTTCAAATTAAAAAAGGACTGATTAGGTTTTTATAAGCTGTTTATTGTGCATGCATGGGCACACTGCAGGACTCAAATAGCCCGATTTAAAAAGACAAAATGCATATTATTGTCAACCTTTTAATGTTTTGTTGTTTGTAGTATATTATAAAGCTAACTATTATGAAGAAATGCAGTTTTCCAGAGTGTCCAGAGAGGAGGAGACTAAACAAACTGTTGTCCATCATGGATACNTAACTCATTCATAAATGGACATGTGTATTAAACTTAAAAACAACGCACCCTGTGAAACACATCACCATCCATGAGCCACTAACATTTATAACTAGTGAAAGGGTGCGTTGTTTTTAAGTTTAATACACATGTCCATTTATGAATGAGTTATAACATTCACGCTGACCTACAGTAATACACATTTTTCACATGAAATGCAAAGTAAGATGCAACAGAACCAAGCAAAACATTTTATTCACACATGAAGAAAATCAGGACTCAAAATAATGACTATTTAGAATGACTGATATACATATTTAAACGTAAAAGCTTTTCTCAGACATAAATGAAAGACTTGGTAAGAAATAATGTGTGGTGTCTCGTCAATTGTGTTAGTTGTGTTTGTTTTATGTCTGTCATTTCATGTTTAGGTTTCTATAGAGTCAGGTTTTCATGTTACTTCACGTCTTGTCTGTCTATTTTATGTCTGTCATCTCTAGTCAAGTCCCCATGTTTCATGTCATGTCTCGTTTTCCCATTTCCTGCTTTATTTTGTACTTACCTCTTGTCTTTCTTTTCAGGCCCTGTTACTTTCTCCCTTTGGGTGTTTTCCCGCCATCGTCAGTGTCTGCCCCGCCCCTGATTGTTTCCACCTGTTCCCAATTCCCTCATGTTTAAATAGTCCTTGTCTCCCTTTGTCTTGTGCCAGTTCGTCTTGTTTCAGTGTGGTTATTTTGTCCAGAGACCCAGCATGATACCAGAGAGGAGAGTTACCAGAGAGGAGAGTTTTGTTTGTTTGAAATCAAGAGTTTTGTTTTGTCCTCGCAAGAGAGATTTTTTGTTAAAACTTTGTTTTATTTTTTCTCATTAAAATATGAGTCGTTGCATTTGAGTCCAGTAGTTTTGTACCCCGTTCTAACATAATGGTACTCAGACTGGACAGGCTTTGTGACGTATATCCTTGAACAAGCGGTCAAGCAGTCCATCAGGGTGAGCAGAGCCAAGCCAAGATGACCATTCAAGAACCTTGAGGTGTTCCTCCAACAAACTCTCTGTACGGTTTCCTCTGAGTCTACGGAGATGTCCTTTGACGGTCGACCAAGCTCTTTAATTATGTTGGATATGACTCTGCCAGTCTGGGGGTTCACCAACCACCTGCTGTGGTTTATGGTGTAGTGGTTGTATCCCACGTTACTCAGCACTCTCCTGTATGCCCTCCACTCATCAATAATAATGCTACTTCCTGACTTAACATGTCGTCCAATCAGAGGGACAAGGTGGCATCTTGATCGTTTCTCCACTAGTTTCAACACTAGTCTCCGCCTTTTGTCTTTAACTCCCATCATTCCGAAGACCCATTTCTTCCTTCTCCATGTAGGAGAAGGAAGAAAAACAAATACATGTTGTATGTGAGGGACTACGGATGGAAATTAGCTCAAAGCTCAAATCCGGCATATTTACATTTGAAGCATTATTTGTTTAAAGTGTTCATCAATGTGCATTGTCCCTTTTCAAATAAACGATTAAAAGAAAATTAAATGACATGGGGATGTAACAGTGTACTGTGTCAGTCCAATTGTGTGTGTTTGTCAAGAAGATACTATTGGCCATTTATTTTATGAATGCTTGTATCGTAGAATATTGTGGTATGATGTAGAATGTTTTATTAGGAAAAAGATGGGACAAAACATTCAACTCCAGGACAAAGACATTCTTATGTACTTCAGGGATGATAGTATGGATGCATATTTTGTCTTTTTTGTGCAGTTAATTGTATTTTTAGGGACATTTAATATCCATAAAAAGAAATGGGCTGACTCCAAACCACATTCTGTATTGTACATTTCAATCAACAATTTAGTATATTAGCACTATTTAAAGCATTAGGAATAAGAAGGCAATAAACTAATTTGATATTTAAAAAATATTTAATCTCAAGTATCAAAATGTATTTTCTTTCCTTTTTTTATGTTTTCTTTATTTATTGTATGTAATGTATTGTTGCATTGTATGTCTGCCCCTGGACTTTGTCTGTTGTATGTCAAATGTATGATGTTCATGTATGACAATTGAATATATTAATACAAAATAAAAATAAATTGTGGGTGTTTGTGTCGCTGTTGAAGGGATTTCACATTTTCTTTGGGTCAATATCTGCGATTATGTTGACTGGAGGCAGGTTTGTGCCTTTGCTCTGTGCTCCTGCCACATGTAGCACACACTGCTGTGACTGCTGTGTCACTTTGTTCGGGCCATGGGTTTGCTCCAGGCGCCTCTGTCTGAAGGCAGATTTGGCAGTAAAAGCGCCAGATAATTATTTCTGATTTTGGCATGTGTTAGAGGTTGTTTAAAGAAACAATATGTCCCTTTCTAAAACTGGTTGGTCAATTGAGAATCTGTTGGCCCACTGAAAAATACTAAAGTTAATTCTATAATGCAATCATTTTACAGTAAAAAAGGTTTCTCTGTGGTTTTCTTTTTCTATTGACTTGACATTGAAAACGATAGATCATTCTGGATTTGGAAATATTTATAAATCACTAAACAATATTGTCAGCACAGCAAGAGCAAATACATCTTGATAAACTGGAAACCAAATCCTTCTTTCTCCCAGAAAAACTTGAGAAATGACCTTGTCTCCAGAAGATGTGATAAGAAAAACGTTTTTTCACTCAGGTATATTGAATTGATGCCATGCCTCCACTTGGACGTGATGATAGAAAACTGACCTCAATTTATTTTCTCTGGACTCAATCCAATGTATCTCTTGGCATGAGTTAAACCGGGGTG